AGTCTGTCTGGAACGCAAATTGAAACCGTAGTTGGGGTTCGGTGCTGCCGAGTATGGAGTTTTCAGGGCGTTTGATAATGCAGTAACTTTGATCTCTCAAATTAAAGGGAGATTGAGAGGTAGATCGGCATACTTTCTTTTCTTTGCTTTCCTCTTTGTAGCAGTGAGAGTTCGGCTTCATGCTTCTCGCCATCGAACCCTTTATGTGAATGAGCCATTTCCATTGGTTTCTGGGCATGGTGAATTACTAATCACCGGTTTTTTTTTTGAAGATTTGATAACCATTCTCTATGAGCTTCTCGACGTGCGGGTACGTACTGTAGTTGCCGAATTTTGAAAAGGCTTGTTGTGCTTCTTTAAATGATGCTCTTCCACTTGGTGTCTATGTCGAAATGTTTGCGCTTTTTCTGCAGGAGCGTATCATAGTCGGGATCGACCAAGTCATTATATCATATGTAGATCGACTCGTTTCGTACCTCTTACAAATAGCACCTTGTAGAGCGCCTGTTATGGAATTAGATGTTCCCATTGTATTTCCTCAGCAGTTACGCTGCAAAGGATGTTTATCCGGAGGTTTGGAGGCTGCCTCCAGTATGCTTGGTGATGTTGGCGAATTTACCTTGAGACAGGTGACAGGTGAATTCGCCAACATCACCAAGCATACTGGAGGCAGCCTCCAAACCTCCGGATAAACATCCTTTGCAGCGTAACTGCTGAGGAAATACAATGGNTTCCATGCCGTTTTCGTCATGGTAATCCCGTGCAACCTTTATTTTTACTATTTTTGGCAAGCCTTATTTTTCGCAGAATCGGCGAATGTTCTCTTTTCCTGCATCACCGTTGCCCTAATCCCTACCGATACTTCTGCTTCTTNCACCTGTCGGTTTGCGTCCGAAAAAAAGTTATGATCAATGGAAAAGAAGTCTGGGTTGAAAATTAGTCTTCAAATAAGCTACAGTAAACACATATCGAATTGTAGAGGAATCCCGAAAATAATTACGTGTGATAGTTGGCGAATTATCACACGTAATTATTTTCGGGATTCCTCTACAATCTTTGAAAAACGTCGATGAGCCCTTGGGCTGTCGCACTGTGCAGGATTCCGCGGCGAAGGAAGCGAGTCACTGTACAGATGAATAAGCACCTATATTATTTTATTTTATCCTCCTTTTCGGTATAGGATGGAAACTTGAGAAGTCGGGACGTAGGTGTGTTGGAATAGTCGATAATGGTGCAGCAATCTACTTGGCAGATATGTCGTTTGATGGTAACGATAATGGTATGATAGCGCATTGAATTGGCAGCTCCTGACACAGTGACTTATTAGTTTTAGGACCTGCTGACGCAGGTTTTGGGATCTGTTAATGTTGGCGTAGTGTAGATGGCGTATGCTCAATGCCTTGTTGATCCCTTTCGCGCGCTCCCCCGGTGAAATCGCAAGAGTGTTGTTGCTGCTGTTGCTGTTGAAAATGGAAGATTTTGACTGCCACTTGGAGTGACATTCCCCAGATATCCTCTCGAGCACCAGAATTGGCTATCGACCTTGAACACTCGCATGTGTACTCCAATAATTTGCCATCTTACTGCCTGATAGCTGCTAGTCGCGTTGTTTGAATTTCCTGATCTTCTGGGGAACTGGTGTGCTTCTAAATTTTTCCCACTTCGAGAATGTTTGTGACAATCCTTTGCTTGATATTCTCATCTGTGGCGTAGAAGGTTTCTAAAAAATCGAAGAGGTTGTACTGCAACTCGTTTCCTCGAAGAGAACAGATATTATGTTTTCTTGCATGTGCACTTTCAAAGCTCTTTTCTCTTCACTTCAATTGGCAAGCCTGCGATATATAATGCCTTTGACAGACCTTAAAGGCACAGCTCACGAAAAAGATGGTCTCTAAGATTTCTCTACAAAATGAATTCAAGGCCTCTCGTAGACCATATGTGCCGCTGTATGGTGAGAAGCGACCTAGTCAGGGCGCTGTAGAGGCCCAAAGATTGTTCTGTGTGTATGCGCGGACGACTTTCATGACATTGTAAAGCTGCACCATTCACAAGGACACCCATGTAGAAAGTTCAAAAAAGGCTACAGTTAAAGGCAAATCTGGACAGTTTTGGCTCGATGTGGTCAGCTGTTTACACAGTTGCAACAACTGAATCTCGTTCAAACACCCCTTCCATGCCGTTTTCGTCATGGTAATCCCGTGCAACCTCTATTTTTACCATTTTTGGCAAGCCTTATTTTTCGCAGAATCGGCGAATTTTCTCCTTTCCTACACCACCGTTGCCCTAATCCCTACCGATACTTCTGCTTCTTGACTTGAAAAGGGTTCCTCGAAATTACCGTGAACTGTGCCTTTAGGTTTACAATAGATGCAAACAATCATTCAGTTATAACACAGGACACATATAACCACATCAGACTAGGCGAAAACATTGGAAAATCCAGAGAATGGCCCTGGATTCCCCAATATTTCCGGTCAGTACACTCCCTAAATTTCTCAATGTTTTCACTTGGTCTGATGTGGTTGTACCTTTGTGTTCCACAAGCACAGCTCGAGTCGGAGCCTCTGTAAAAGAGTGAGATACAAGGGGTGTGTGCGGCAAACCGAAACTAACAGAGTGCACGTATGAGCATATAACGCGAATCCAAGTGTACGATATGCGCGTAAAAACAGCAGACGCTCGACGACTCTTGGTCTTCAGGCTTCCTTATTCCGCAAGCAGTGAATGACGTCATGTTCCGTCCCGTCTCCCCACCAACTCCAACTTCTTCATCCATCCCGCGACTCGACACTATCCGCGGTACCCACGTGTACTCACATCGTCGTATTCACTTTATTCGTGTCTGTAATAAATCCTGTACCGGTATTATCCATGTCCTATGAATAAATGACGTATAATTTTTGATTGTTGTGTTTTGGGCGGGTCATGACAGAGGCTAGGATTTGCGTGGATTAATTACCTTTATCTGGATCATTACTTACTGCAAAGTATAATGATGTAATAGGTTAGGCAATTGCACAGGTCCTCTTCTAAAGTTACATCCGTTGTCGTAAGTATGTTTGAGCTCATGTTGTCCGTTGTACTTTACTTCGTAGTATTTCCCTTCAGCTTTGAATGCAAAAGAATTCAAAAGGAAGTGAGTTCGATTGTTGGAGGTAATTTATTACCTCCTCCTCACTGACCATCGTTCATTGCATCTAAAAAAAGATCGCGGTTCCGCTAGGACCCGGAAAATCGCTGCCGCTGCCAAATTAGTACTGAAACCATTAGGGGATGTGACTGCTTACCTACTTAATTTTAAGCTCTTTCGCGGCCCTCCTAAAACCTCCTGGGTCATGATGCTGTATGCTCACGACAACAGGTTTAGATTTCAAGAAGAGGGCCTACCTAAGAACTTACAGGCAGTATCTTACGC